TTTTTCTTTAAAAATTTTTTTTTATATAAACTCAGATTTATAATTGTATAATTTATAATAAAATTTGAACTTATGTGATGATTTTGTATAAAGCTTCTAATAAAATTAGGCGTATAAAGTTATATTAATATTTTGGGTCTGGATCTGAGTTGTATATGTATTCTTCGGAGTCCTGCTTTAATATAGTTGCAATCAAATCCCAATGAGATCGTCAAAGTTAAATGCAAAATTTTTCGAAATTTTTTGTCATTTAAAAAATACAACTTTTGACCAATGGTCAATCTTCAATCTTATAATATGTAATTAATAAATAATGATTATTGTCACATAAATTATGATTTAAGCTCTTTGCGAAAAAAAATTTTATTAGAATAACTTCATTTTTCATAAAATTAGATGAGAACCAAATTTTCGGTAAAATTGCAGGCAAATTTATCTGTAATATTTTACCATTTAAGGGATAATATGGTGTCGAAATTCTATACTCAAAAATAAAATTGTGATACTTATAAATCTTTCAACACTTTAATAAAATAAAATTTCAAAAAAATAAACCAGTAACTTTGTTCTACAATACAAGTACTATTAAATTACCGGTTAGATTTTCAAAAAAATATCTACATAAAAAGTTATAAGCATTTGAAATTTGATTATTTTTATATGTTTGGCCCAAATTTGAAACAACAAAGTCACATAAATGCATTTATTTTATAAGAATTTATATAATTTGTATTGACATTTAATTATTTTAAGGCTTAAAATAGCTTTAGGCAAACATGGCATAGTAGCCTTTATCTTTATTAATTATTCATCAAACTTTACAAATTTACATATAAGAAAAAGAAAATAAAATAAAAACTAACTAAAAACAAAGCTATATAGTCTCCTAGAAAGAAATTAAAATTAAAAGAAAGTTCAAAAGAAAATTCACTAATACTAACACTTTCTAGATCTCCCCCCTTGATATATTCCAACCAAAGTAGAAGCAACTATGCTAACAAAATAACGAATGACGCGCCCATTATTAAAATCGACACTCCATCCTGCAAAAGCGGTTATTAAGTAGCACCGTTAGATGACCCATAAAACCCGAAATGTGATTAAACCAAGATAATCTATATTGCATCGAGTTTTTTAACCAATCGGTTCTGGAGTCACGTGAATCAACATGGGTCGAAGGTAGTAAAGACGAGTAAGGTAAATAAGAAGATTTGGGCAAACCTTTAGGCCTTGAAGATTGTTTAAGTTTTGAAGAAATGTTCATCGTATGTTCCCATAATCCTTTATCATACGAACACGGATTCCAAATTCGTTTACGGAATTTGTTGATAAAATTGTTATGTATGGCGGCAACCACATTCATAGCAGTGAGGTGAGGAATACCTAAGTTTTCAAAAACTTCCAGAAAAGCAGTAGGCAAACAGCCACGGACGAGACTATAGGAAGACCAATTGTTAGAGAACAAGTCCAGCAAGGGAGGGAAGTAACTCTATTAATTGAAGAAGAGTAATCACAATTGGCATTATCACCCGCTTCTTTAATTTTTTGGGTAAGGTGGTGGAGATATGACGTTAAAATTTGATGTAATTTAACACGGCGCTTTTTGCATAAAAATAAGTGCATAAAATCTTCTAAGTGGTCTTCACAGGAACGACAGGGTAGAATCTCTACGTATAAATCAGGTCGTGTCCTTTTCAGTGATTCCAAAGTAGGTAAGTCTTCCAGAAAAAGTTGAAATTTCAACGTGTGATGTCTAGAGACATTTGTAAGAGCCCAATCAACCACATATCGGGATGGATCTGTTAAAAGAGAAATAAAGCGGAAGCGAGAAAGGGCTAAAAGGTCTTTCATATACAACATCTGATGATATTGTTTAAACAGATGTCTTGGGTTGGATTCACAGACTACGTCATCATAAGTCATAATATAATCATGAACCGTGGCAAGATCTAGGCGGGAGATAAGAATAGCATTGTCAGATGTATGGGCAGTATTGGCAAGAGAGTCAGCGAAGTCATTCCAATAAAAATTAGATTGAGCTTTAACCTTGAAATGTAAAACTGAAAGTTGTTTATCCACAATCAGTTGTTGGATGATGGCCCAAAGTTCAAAATTGGTAGTCTTATAATAAAGATGAGAATCTGAATAATCAGATAAGAAACAATGTTTCAAACTTTCGATGGAAGACTGTGAATCGAACTACGGAGTTGGCAGGAGAAGCTGATAAAGCAGCATAAATAGCAGCAGCTTCGGCTTGAGAAGAGGAAGGCCAATCACGAATAATACCCCGCTTATAAGTGGCAATAGAGTTGAGAAAGCCAGAATCTTTGACAATTTGAACCCAACCCCATCCCATAGAAACATCACTAGTTCCTAAGTTAATAAGAGAACCATCAATGTAAAAGGTATATTGTGAGTCTGGAGAAAGCACGACCGATGATGATGCAGCAACATCGCCAGTCGTAAGTAAATGTGGAGTAGACAAAGCCTTGTCAACAGTATCGAAGAAAGTATGGGAAATATCAGCAGCAGGCATCGAGCGAACTGAAGGATTACAAAATGAGGTAACAAAGTTCATGATTTCTGCCCACAACACTGTAGCAGTCAAGCTGGATGTGTGATTCAAAATGGATGATTTCTTCATAGGTAAGATCTATGACTGACAAAGAGAGGCCGAATAGGAGCAAGAAACAGAACCAGTAGCAACTGATTTCTTTGAATAGGAAGATTTATTTATATTTAAATTGCAGCCAGGACAAGGTTGTAGAGTAATCAAATCGCTCAGATGAGATAAGCAGTCTGAAATCCAATGTACAATGGTACAAGTGGAGCGTTTAGGTTGGATCTGGATCTGTTTACCGAATAACGGAAGGCCATTATCATTCATCGTGACAATCCAATTCTTCTTATAACCAGAAGGAGAAATGTAAGGAGTAAGTTCTTTAGCAATCTGGCTCACAGGTCGTTGTTCAGTCATAAATCGGTCTTTTAATAAACCAGGTTTATCTGGAATCGTGACATTAGTAAAGAGATTCTTGTACCAATTGGGAAGACGGGCATTACCACGCTTTTGAACAGAATTAGCATATATGACAGACCAGGAGAGCAAATGTGTTCCTTGAGGTGTCAAAAGTTGCGAAAGGTAAAAAAGGCCACGTTTTTGAAGTCTTGTTAAGTTGGCTTTAAATACATCCAAAGAAAGACATTGATAAATGGGAGTATGGCCATTGGGGTAGGTTAAATCAGGCACAAACGATAAATTAGCATGTGACAAACGAAAGGGAGTTGAGAGTAACGAAGCTAGAGTATTAGCGA